CTAGGTAATAAGAAAGAAATCAAGTCATAGATTTTCTTCTACATCCAAAGAAAATGAAATAAAACAGGGAAGAACTATAATCAACTTACTCAATCATCTCAAAAAACTATATTTTTCTCATATAGTCAATGTTTAAAACTATTTAGCAGACAATATCTCAGTAATTTCTTCTATCAGTCATTTCTCCTATTTATAAAGTTTATGCTGAACATATGATGTTTTATATTCCTATATTACTTTTTGGCATTTACTAAAAATGTTAACAGCTGGGTAATGAAAATACCTGTGAGAAAGTCTTTCATATTATTTATGACATTGTGTGAAAAACAGTAACAGATATTTACTGGAGACTTTAGAAATCAAAAGCATGATATCAAACGGGTAGAATCAGGAAATAAGTTGAGCTACCAAAGAGAAAAGAGACATATTTAGTGATAGAAATGAATTAAATGTACACAAAATGACTAGGTTGCACAACTATTTACAATGTTAAATTAATGTAAATTGTTCGCTGAAATAGCAAAATGCATTGAATAATGTTGGCTCTAAATATGCATGCTTTACATACTATTTTAACTAGGAATAAATTTAGCTATGACTAAAATATGATTACTGAAGGTAAAATAACATAACTATCTAAACATATATAGCAAAAATATAAAACAATATCAAATGCAGGAAAAAATAATTTGGCTCTTTGTGGATATTTTTATGATCTGTAGAAACACTTTATAAAGTAACCTAGAAAGAAAACCATGATTAAATTCAATTGTATATGACAGTTAAGAGAACACCTTGGCCAAAATCTAGGCAGATTATTTTGAAGACAAAACTGGTCATAAAAACCAAAGCCAGTCCTTTGCAAAAACTGTAAGAAACAAAAGACAAATATATTTCAAAACTACATCAAGGTAGATTTAACACAGTAGTCAAATATTTGATAAACAATGCCAGTCCAGACCTCTTTTTATTCTACCTTTTTATCTGTTTTTACCACTGAGAGTGAACAAGAGAAATAAGTAAAAATAGAATCAACTCAATTCATGTTACTGAAATAAATCAGAGGCTATAATAAAATACAAAAGAGCCAGTTACTCAAAATTCATTAATATTTGACTCTAATAATAATTATTGATAAAGATTTGTACAGCAAAAATTCAAAATCCTATGTCTTACAGTTTTTAAAAAAAAAAACCTTCCCCATATATTATCTCATGCGACACTCACCAAAACCCCGTGAATATGTAGGGAATCCTGGTAGATGTGAAGAACTTAAGTTTGGCTTTACAGAGAAAGAACTAAGGCTCAGAGAAGTTAGATGATTTATCCAAGGTTATACCTACAGTAAAGAGCTGAGTGTGGATTCTCAAATCCTATTCACGTATTCATCCATCCATCCATTCACTCATTCTTTTGCTAATATTGAGTTCAATTCCCTAAATGACCTTTGAAGTTGAAGGCAATCTTGAGAAGAGCAAGAACGCCACCTGAGATTAAGAATATACCAGAGAATTAGCAAAATGGGAAACTGGCCACAATTTTATGGTTTGGATGTGGATTAAAAGTAAAAATATTTGCTAACAGAGATTTGTAATTTTGTCAGACTATGCTTTGCCTCTGCTTGTTAGAAGGTCTAAGTATTGACTATGGCTCCACTTTACCGTTTTTTTGTTTTTGTTTTGTTTTTAGAGAGAGAATGCATGAGTGGGGAAGGGGGCAAAGGGAGAGAATCTCAAGCAGGGTCCATGCTCAGTGTGGAGTCCAATGTGGGGCTTGATCACGATCCTGGGATCAAGACCTGAGCTGAAATCAAGAGTTAGACACTCAACTGACTGAGCCACCTAGGCACCCCCTACTTTAAATGGAATCATAATTTTGAGTACTGCAGTCTTTCTAGTTCACAACTACCACCCCTTAGTGAATAACTTTACACCCAAAACAATTTTTAGGAGGAAAACCCAGCCCTTTGGATCCATTATTAAAAATTACCATTATCTGTGTTTTTGAATAAATGTATTCATGATACAAAATTCAAAAAATATGAAGATATTCGGTATAAAGTAAGTCTCTCTCTCCTGTGCTTTAGTGTCCCAGAACTCCTCTCTAGAGGCAGATACCACTACCATGTGTCCTCCCATTGAAAATCTATGCACTTAACATGTGTATGGGTGTGTATAATGCTGTGTGTGTGTGTGTGCTTGTGTATGTTTAGTAAACAGTAGCAAACTATACACACTGATCTTTACCATGTCTTTTCATCTGACTTTACTTTTTGTTTTTGAGAGCTTTTCAGATTAGCTGCTTCATTCTTAAATGATTGCACAGTATTCCTAGGAATTCCTTTGGATTACTCTCCAATTTATTTGTAGTCAAGAATACTTGCTCAAGAGTTCCAAAAGGGCTAACTTTTACTAGCATATAATAGGAATCCTTGCAGTTAACTGATTAGCTCATAAGAGCTGAAAAGAATCCGAAACTTACAAAAATTCCAAGTATGGTTATTTTATTAGACATTTCTTAAATTTAAAAATCCAGGGATAACTTTAATTAGAAGCTAAATGGAATACAAACTGTCCTTTCACTAATAATTTTAATGAACACACATATATTATTTGCGATACTAGGCATAAAAGAGATTGAATAGATCATAAAACCCAGAGCCGAAATGATTATTAATCCAGTATGGAATTTATTACACATTTACATATGTTCTTCATTAAGTCCATTGAGGTGTTTTCCTATGTACATAGTCTAAAACATTAGGTAATTCATATATTTCCAGTCAGTATAAATACCAATTTTTTGCAAGTTTTTATTTAAATTCCAGTTAGTTAACATACAGTGACACTAGTTTCAGGTGTAGAATTTAATGATTCATCACCCACATGCAACACCCAGTGCTCATCATCATTGTGCTCCTTAGTAAAAGGCGAAAGATGTATACAATCTGAAGAGAAACCAGAGTATACCATTGTGCTCCTTAATACATAGCACCTAATTAATCCCTCCCTTCCCCACTGCCCTCCAGTAACTCTGTTTAGTCTCTAAAGAGCATTCCTTGGTTTGCCTCTTTTCCCCCTATGTTCACCTGTTTCTTAAACTGTACATGAGTAAATTCATATAGTATTTTTCTGACTTATTTTGCTTTGCACAATGCTCACTAGCTCCATCCACATTGTTGCAAATGACAAGATTTCATTTTTTTTAATGGCTGAGTAATATATATGTGTTTATACATATATGTATGTATATATACGTATATATACATACATATATATATGTGTGTATAGAAACACACACACAATATCTTCTTTATCCATTCATCAGTTGATAGACATTTGGGTTCTTTCCATAATTTGGCTATTGTTGATATTGCTTCTATAATCATCAGGGTGCATGTGTCCCTTCCAATCAGTATTTTTGTATCCTTCGGGTAAATACCTGGTAGTGCAATTGCTGGATCATAGGGTGAGTCTATTTTTAACTTTTTAAGGAAACTCTATACCTTGGTGATAATGCAAAATGGTGCAGACACTATGGAAAATAATTTTCAAAAATTTGTAATCATGGTAGGAAAAATTCATATATTTCCAGTGGCATCATATATTAGTACAATCCTTTTCAAAAGCATTCTGACAATAGGTTTTAAAAGATACAAACATATTTATTCCCATTGATTAAATAATTTCAGTTTTGGTGCACCTGGGTGACTCAGTCGGTTAAGCACCAGACTTAGGCTCAGGTCATGATCTCGCAGTTCATGGGTTCAAGCCCCACATCGAGTTCTGTGCTGGCAGCTCAGAGCCTGGATCCTGTTTCAGATTCTGTGTCTCCCTCTCTCTCTGTCCCTCCCCTGCTCATGCTGTGTCTCGGTCTCAAAAATAAAATAAACTAAACCACACTGAGATACCACCTCATGCCAGTCAGAGTGGCGAAAATGAGCAAATCAGAGGACTCTAGATGCTGGTGAGGATGTGGAGAAAACGGGCACCCTCCTTCACTGTTGGTGGGAATGTAAACTGGTGCAGCCCCTCTGGAAAACAGTGTGGAGGTTCCTCAAAAAATTAACACCAGAACTCCCCTATGACCCAGCATAGCACTGCTAGGAACTTACCCAAGGGATATAGGAGTGCTGATGCATAGGAGCACATGTACCCCAATGTTCACAGCAGCACTCTCAACAATAACCAAAACATGGAAAGAGCCTAAGTGTCCATCAATGGACAAATGGATCATGATGTGGTTTATCTATACTATGGAGTACTACATGGCAATGAGAAAGAATGAAATCTGGCTATGTGTAGCAACACAGATGGAACTTGAGGGTGTTATGCTGAGCGAAATAAGTCAGGCAGAGAAGGACAGCTACCATATGTTTGCACATATAGGAGGATTAGGAGGAACTTAATGGAGGATCTGGGGGAGAAGAAGGGGGGAAATAGTGGGGAAGAGGGAGGGAGACAAACCATGAGAGACTCTTGAATGCTGAGAACAAACTGATGGGTGTGTGTGGGGGGGATGGGCATGGAGGAGGGCACTTGTGGGGTTGAGCACTGGGTGCTGTATGGAAACCAACTTGACAATAAACTATTTAAAAATAAATAAACTAAACTGTAAAAAATTAAATAATTCCAGTTTTTACAATATTTCCTCAGGAAATGAGTTAAAACCCACAAACTATATTACAATAACATTCATTATTTACAAAACAAAAAATGAAAGGATTTAGATGCTCAATAATATGTAACTGGTTTAGTAAAGTGTACCAACTTGAGGAATATTACAGTCAGATAAGAAAAAATCAAGTGTAAAGATGTGTCTATATGGGGAAAGGTATGTGATGTGTTAATACTATATGTAGTTCTCACATATATGGTAAAATCTAGGCATCATCATAGCTATATAAACTACGTGTGACAAGACTGAATAGTAGTGGTGGGATAGGAATAGGGATGACTTTTTACTTTAAGTATTGTGTAATTTTACAGAGGATAGAAGTGTCTCCTCATACCTCTTCTGAGTCCATACCACCTTCATGCACAGTGGTAGTCCTGCAAGTGAAACATAGAGAAATGCAGAGGTAAGAAATGGAGAGGTATTGTCTATGTATCTAAAGGTGTTCCAATGCCTTACTTATGAGACCTGACTGCTTTCCTACTTTTGGATTCTATGGGAAAAAAATTGCAAACTTATGTCCTTATTATAAACTATTTTTTCTGTTTGGGCCAGTTTGAACTGGAGTCTGTTACACCAAAAATAAAAGCAAAGAAATAAAACTGAGACAGGTTTTCTATTTCTTTCATAACCTTTAACATGTATTTTTTTTTTTACAAATAGTTTATTGTCAAATTGGTTTCCATATAACACCCAGTGCTCATCCCCGCAAGTGCCCTCCTCCATGCACATCTCCCCTCTCCCCCCCACATCCATCAGTCCTCAGTTTTTGTCAGCATTCAAGAGTCTCTCATGGTTTGCCTCTCCCCCTTTCCCCCACCATTTCCCCTCTTCTTCTCCCCCATGGTCCTCAGTTAAGTTCCTCCTAATCCTCCTATATGTGCAAACATGTGGTATTTGTCCTTCTCTGCCTGACTTATTTCGCTCAGCATAACACCCTCAAGGTCCATCCATGTTGCTACACATGGCCAGATTTCATTGTTTCTCATTGCCATGTAGTATTCCATGGTATAGATACACCACATCTTCTTGATCCATTCGTCCATTGATGGACACTTAGGCTCTTTCCATGTTTTAGCTATTGTTGAGAGTGCTGCTATGAACATTGGGGTACATGTGCTCCTATGCATCAGCACTCCTGTATCCCTTGGGTAAATTCCTAGCAGTGCTATTGCTGGGACATAGGGGGGGTTCTATTGTTAGTTTCCTGAGGAACCTCCACACTGTTTTCCAGAGGGGCTGCACCAGTTTACATTCCCACCAACAGTGTAGGAGGGTGCCCGTTTCTCCACATCCTCGCCAGCATCTAGAGTCCTCTGATTTGCTCATTTTTGCCACTCTGACTGGCATGAGGTGGTATCTCAGTGTGGTTTTGATTTGTATTTCCCTGATGAGGAGGGATGCTGAGCATCGTTTCATGTGTCTGTTGGCCATCTGGATGTCCTCTTTGGAGAAGTGTCTGTTCATATCTTCTGCCCATTTCTTCACTGGGTTGTTTGTTTTTCGGGTGTGGCGTTTGGTGAGTTCCTTATAGATTTTGGATATCAACCCTTTATCTGATATGTCATTTGCAACTATCTTTTCCCATTCCGTCAGTTGCCTATTAGTTTTCTGGGTTGTTTCCTTTGCTGTCCAGAAGCTTTTGATCTTGATGAGGTCCCAATCGTTTATTTTTGCTCTTGATTCCCTTGCTTTTGGGGATGTGTCAAGTAAGAAGTTGCTGCGGTGGAGGTCAATGAGGTTGTTTCCTGCTTTCTCCTCTAGGGTGTTGATAGTTTCCTGTCTCACGTTCAGGTCCTTTATCCATTTTGAGTTTATTTTTGTGCATACCATGTATTCTTAAAAAGTGCTATATTGGGCTCCTGGCTGAGCTTAAGACTTTGCCTCAGGTCATCATCTCACGGTTCATGAGTTTGAACCCATTGGGCTCGCTGATGTCAGCACAGAGCCTGCTTCAGATCCTCTGTCCCCCTCTCTCTCTGCCCCTTCCCCACGTATGCTCTCTCTCACAAAAATAAAACATTTTAAAGTGCTATATGCTATCTAATTGCATTGCAAATAGTGTCATTTATCCTAGGGTAGTAAATTCACTTCTTGTGCAGACAATTCCGTAAATAATGTAGCTAATGTAAGCCAGCAGTATTTCTAGATGATATAATATTCCAACTAATGTTAAATAACATGTTAATCTCATATCTTCTTTTTTCCTTTAATTAGATAATCATTCCACTATGCCTGAAGTGACATTTTCAGGGATAAGATTCTCTTTTAGCCTGCTGAACAGAAAGGCACTGTGTGGGTTATGCTCTTAATATCTGGCTCCGATCTTTATGACTTTGGTTTTTCTGTATTCCCAATCATTGACTGTTTACCACGTGCCAGGTACCATGTAAAAACACTTCATATACAGTATCTTGTTTTCTCTTTACAAAGCCCCTGTGCCAGAATGATTCACAAATGGCAGACACTTTTTCTCTTTTCTATAGTTATTGAATGTGCTTCACATGAGACAGGCACTGGTTTTGGTATGAGAAACACAGAGATGAAAATCTCCAGCTAGGAGAAGAGACAGATGTTAAAGCATAGCAAAAGTGGTAAATGCTAAAACAGTGGTGTGTACAAGGTACTCTGAAGGATGTGAGGAAATCACTAGCCATGTGAGGCAGGTTCTCTAAACCCAAATATTCTGACACAACTGGAGAAGCTCTGAGGTAATCTGAAATCCTGGGAAAGAATATTAGTAGTCTGCCTGCTTGGAAACATAAAAGGTAATTTGGAAAGCAGCAGAATCTGAATGGGGAGGATGTTAACTTTGGAGTATTAGGCTGTAGTAAACATAAAAGACCAAAAAAAATAGTATTAAAAGGTACATTGGAGGGGCACCTGGGTGGCTTAGTCGGTTAAGCATCAGACTTTCGCTTAGGTCATGATCTCGCGGTTCGTGGGTTCGAGCCCCGCATAGGGCTCTGTGCTGACTGCCAGCTCAGAGCCTGGAACCTGTTTCAGTCTGTGACTCCCTCTCTCTCTGACCCTCCCCTGCTCACACTCTCTCTCTCTCCTAGAAATAAATAAAACATTAAAAAAAAAAAAGGTACATTGGAGACTTTTCAATTATTCATTCATCACATAATTTTGAGGGCCTGGCATGCACTAAGACAGTTTTAGGAGCCAGAAAGACCACTACGAGAATGTCTAACCTGAAACAATTTATTACCATTTATTACCATTATAAACATTAGAAATATTAACTATACTTTGTATTACTAATGATTTAACATTATACTATTTGTTAATATAATCTGAAAATGTTATTTTTCATCTGTGCCTCATCTGAATGGCCACATCTTGTATCTGTATGGCTTTTATTTGCTGAGTTATTCCTTTATAAATGATTATTCAGGAGGAAAAAAACCTTTTAAAGTTTCCTTTATGATTGTTCTTTTGCTCACTTTTCCTCCGCTCCTCTCACTATCCCCATCTCTAGAACACTTGTATAATGTGGACAGTCTTGACTATTTAAAAACCCTTTCATGGATTATAACGGTTTTCAATAGAAGATCCCCAGTCCTTAGAACCTTCATGTGATCTGGTTCCTGTTTCCCCACCTAAGGAGCCTTATGTGGAATTTGCATCCCTTTTATTCTTTTAGATTCCCCCCCCCAAAAAAAACCCCACTACATATGCTCTAACGTCTTTAACATTCTCCCCTCATTTTCCTGACAAATTCTATCACTTCTCAGGAAAAGATTTCCTTAACTCCAGGTTAGGTTAGATGCCTCTCTTATGTACACTTTATCTCCTGAACATTTGTGTCACAGTCTCTTTGTCAATCTGTTTCTTCCACAAACTTGTGTGTTTCTTGAGGTCAGAAAGTGTATTAAGCATTTATAGCCCCATGCAGCATCTGTCACACAGAATATACACAAGAATATTAACTGAATAAATTAACTCATGAATAATTATTAAAAGTTCTATATGGCATAATGCTAAATGTTACTTATAAAGTAATTACTATTAGCTTAATATTTTAAAGCTGTTTATAAAGATGAACAAATAAATGAGCAAAAACATTTATCATGAAACTTAAAGCTTGCATACTTTAGTAGGCAGAATAGTGGTCTCAAAAGATGTCTATGCCCTAATCCCCAGAACCAGTGAATATTTTTAGGTTATGTGGCAATTAAGGTTGCAGATGGAATTAAGCTTGCTGATCAGCTGATCTTGAAATGGGAGGTGTCCTGAATTATCCGGGTGGATCTAATTTAACCAAAATGCCTCTAAAAACAGAAAAGAGAGGCATAAATATAAAGAGCTAATGAGGTGACAGGATGAGGACTCAGGCCGATGTTGCTGCCTCTGAAGACAGAGGAAGGGGCCATAAGCCAAGGAATATGGGTGGCCTCTAGAAAATGGAAAAGGCAAAGAAACAGATTCTCCCCCAGAGTCTTCTGGAGGAACGTAATCCTACCAAAGCCCGGTGAGACCCATTTTGACTTCAAGACCATTAAGATATTTGTGTGATTTTAAGCCACTAAGTTTGTGGTAATTTTTTATAGTAACATTAGGAAACTCATACAGATACCTACATCAAACAGGATTAACTTTGGGTGCCTAAAACATAAAACTTAAGACAATGGTGGCTTAAAGAAGATATGTTTATTTATATATAGAAGAGATCTGGAGGTAAGAAGTCTAGGGCTACTTATGTATTCTCATGTCAAAGACTTGGGGCCCGTTGATCTTGTTGCTCTGCCTTTCTTAATCTTAATGAGCTGAGCTCTAGCCAGCAAGTCTGATTCCAACCAGCAAGAAGAGAAAGAAGGATGAACTACCTCCTTTTTAAAATTTATTTTTTTTAAATATTTTTATTTATTTCTAGGAGAGAGAGACAGACAGACAGCGTGAGCAGGGGAGGGGCAGAAAGAGAGGGAGACAGGGAATCTGAAGCAGGCTCCAGGCTCTGAGCTAGCTGTTAGCATAGAGCCTGACACAGGGCTTGAACCCACAAACTGTGAGATAATGACCTGGGAGTCAGACACTTAACCACCTGAACCATCCAGGCACCCCTGAACCACCTCCTTTTGAAGGGCTTCCTCCACATTGCATGCATTCACCTCCACTTATATCTCAGTGGCCAGAACTGAGTAGCAAAGTAGCACCTAGATACATGCAAAGACTATTCAAGTGTCCATGGGACGGCAGTGAAGGTTCCATTACTAAGAAGAAGAAACATACTGGGGACAATCAGCTATCTCTACCTTACTACTGTGATATTATGATTTTCTTTTCCCCTTTCATGTCTTAAGTATATAAAAGTTGTCTCTCCTAGATTTTAGATTAGGGCAGGGGCCTTCACTCTACAGAGTTACTGAATAATTATTGAATAATTACTCTATAATAGACTATGGCATATTTCTAAGTATTTGTCATATTTTTCACGTACACACAGTACAATATGAATATATATTTGGTCAGTGAATGACATAAGATACATCGCATTCAAACTTCAGTGTTGTGATCAACAGAAATAAATTATTGTTTGATAAAGAAGGTTAAATACATTTTGTTTCTCTATGTGTAGTATTGTGGGGCCTGGCAGGAAACAAATGGCACACTCGAAGGGTAAACTGAAGAGAGTCTGATGAAGAAACTATTTACAGAGATGTGGGCAGGCTTTAGGGGGACCAGTAAGGGATAAAGCCCCCTAAGGAATCGCAACAAGAGGGCACCATTAGCATCCGTTGGCCTGAAGAGACCAAGGGAAGCAGTTTCTGGAACTTGGCAAGACCTGTCACCATGAGACAGGGTTGCCTGATGGGAGCCAGGGCCTTAGGTAGAGGAATGAAGCTACTGCCAAAAGCCACAGACAGAAGGGACTGTGAGGGAAGGTGAAATAAATATCCTGACCTCTCTCTCTTTCCTTCCTGTGATCATTTGCCAAGGCCTCCAAATTAGCTGAAACCAAACAGAAACCAGAGGGCAAAGGAGCTTGGGTGTTGTGGTCCATAAAAATCAGCCTTTAAGAACATAGAAAGAAAAGAATGGGCTTTGAGGGACAGAGAAAACCCAGAATATGAATAATCAAAGCATTTTACAATGTTGGGATGACTCAAAAAACTTTGAACAAAGAGAGAAAGGGAACTGATCCAAATAGATTCACGTTAGACCTGGTACAAAGAAAGATGAAGACAATGATTAGAACATAAAACAGTGGAGAGGGGGCACTGCCTGTGATCTATTTATGGAGTTAGGATAAAGAGCGTGAGCTAGGAACAGAGGCATAAGAAGGAATGAGAAGGGTCTGGCCAGAGATCTTTAAGTTGGGAATATATCTGAACACAGGGTATTTCTTATTGCCACCTTTTTCATTTGAGTTTAACACAATTGTGGGGAATCTAAAAACTATTATTGACTGCATATATTTTAAACAAATACACTCTATAACAGTGGCAGCGATTGTAACTGAGGGTCTGTGGACTACAGGTCAAAGAAATAGCTATACTCGGTAGCATAACCAGTCAGCTGCTAAAAGAAACCAAGATGCCAGAGAAAAAAAATACATGGAGACAAAGGTGGAAAAAAAAACAAACAAAAAAAAACCAGCAGTAGAAACCAGATACCAGATCCCTGGTATGGTTAACTACTTAAAGTTCATTCAAGTCCAGAACATTCATGTTGCCCTCCTTCTAGTACAATTTACTACCTATAGTTGTCAAGTATAGAAAAAAGTGTTATTCAGCCTGTAAGTTATTTCAATAATATAATCTATCTTCCATGAAAGTAGGCCTTGAAAGCAATCGTTTTAATCATTGTGATTTTATGGAAAGATTAGTATTAGTTTTGAGATGTTCATTAACATCCTTCAACTTTTTCTACATTGATTTATACTTACATCTCTGTATTAGACATGTTCCTGAAAAACTGCCCCAAAATAAGAAGCTTGGTGTGTTAACATTTCATTGACTTATATTAAAAATAGGAGCCTTATTCCCCAGAGAGAAAAACCATTTTATAAAGCAATATGTAGTAAAACCAAATGGAGGTTTGGGGAAAAGATTTGTCCTTATTATTACCTCCTGGGAGGATTTATTAGAAAAGTTGGTGTGGGTCCTAAAGACAGCTGTTGGTTCTGGATCACTCTGTAGTCATGTTTCCTTCCTGACTCAGCAACTGTAGAATTTGGTGGAACTGCAGCAGTTGAACGACAATTGGCCCCTTTTGTCTCATTGTGAATCCCATGTCCAGAGTCACTATTGAGCTAAGGATTGAGAAGCAACATTAGGGGACTTCTAAACTCTGAAATGTGATGGGGAACATGTATCAAATGTATTCTTTTTCCTTCAAAGCTCTAAAAGTAAAGTATGTTAATATAATGAATTTAATTGATGTAATTAATTTTATCTTTCCATGAAAGCAAGCAATTTACTTTGATGACAATTATAGAATATTATTATAAGCTATACTCCCCAAATGTGTTCAGGTGAGGTATGTGAAAATCATATGCTCAATATAGAATGCCATGAAATATCTGCATTTTAAACTCAAAATAATTTTATGTCAAGTGTTATCCTAACTTATAACATGAATCTTACATGGAAAGCAAATAGCAGGTGCAAAGGGTTTATGAAAAATTTATAGAAAAACTAAGTATTAAAAATGTTCTACCCATTTACATTTTTCCTTATAAATTAAAAAAATATTACAGTAATTCATTTTTAGCAGAATACCTCTTTCAGCATATGCAATCCCAGAGCACAGTAGAAGCAAAGTATTAACATTTCATTGATACTAAAATTATGAGTATATATTGAATATATATTGTATGATGACACTGTAATTACTAAAATCAACAATATAAGGTACACATTAAACTCTTATTAGTATACTTCTCCATGTTTAGTTGAACCTATATTTTCTTGCTGAGGTATAAATGACTAAATAAAGTCAAATTTTAATAAAGTTATCCCTTTTCTAAATTTACTGTAAAGATTTTCCCTAATTCTTTAGTTACATTTAAGAGCTAAGTGGCAACCATCACCTATACATCGGACTTAAAGCAGCATTTTATTCTGAGATTTACTTTTGCCTGCTTTTCAGTCTAGATTTCAATAATTTGGGGAACTTTAGTTGTTTGCATTAATTACAGTTAATATATTTATCAAATATTCAATTTGTAATATATATGTATATTTAAATAATTACTACAGGATTTTACAAAACTGAAATTTTATATTAGAAGATTTAGGATATCAATATTTCAATGCATATTGGAAACCTAGGAGTGGGCAAAGTTAATCATCTGGAGAAAACGATTATGGAGACGGTAAACTCAAGATCAATTAGTTTCAAAATAAGGCAGGCTATAAATGATAGTAATCAGCTTTTGCAGCCATGATTTCAACGGTTCCTAACAACTAATGTGGTGAAGGCAGATAAACAATCCTCACTTTATATAGGAAAGGTCAAGTATTTTAAGAAATACTTCCCTATTGGGCATCTACAATATAACCAGGTACTCCACTAGGTCCTGAGAGCACAGAAATGAACAAGAAAAGTCTAGCCCAAGATACCGAAACCAGTAACCATTAGGGTAAGGAAGACAATGACTTTCTACTTGACCTGTCCCTTTGTCTCTGATTTTAAGGTGAGGATGAATACTGAAGGAAGCTTAGTAGGGAGGTACAAGACAGACCCTTCAGAAAAAAGGACGAGTTATACCTCCTGAGAGTAGGTAAAATGTGTGCTAGTTCAAATGTATTTTTTTTTTCCCATTCTGGCTAGAAATTAGGGTAGCTGTAAAAAAGTTGTGGGGGCGGGGATGCAGGCAAATGACAAAGTCTATAACTTGATTCAGCCTTTAGGAGGTAGGAAAAGATTACTGCTTGAATGAAGCAAAACATGGACACAGTTCTGGGATGCACAAATTCAGTTAACATGGTATGAATGAAACCGAGGACTGCCTGTACTTAAAATGATCATTAAGAGTGATGATTCTAATTTTGGCATTAAGCATGCGTAGATATACAGACATAATGTACAGCAAGGAATATTTACAGTCACATTTCATGCACTAATAAATAATGCATTCATTTCTCAAAATGCCAAAGAGAATGTGGGAGAGAAAATTTTCATCTATATTCAGGATTAAACTTTCTAATTTTAAATTACCAGACTTCAGATGTAAATTTATTTCAGTAGAAAGGTTTGAAGAGATTATTAATGGATCTTCGGAAATTCTGGAGTGTTTAAAAGATGATTTTAACATAATAAAGAATCTTGCCATAGGTATGGCAAAAATTATAGGCTTAAATTTATTGAGCACCTACTACGTGGCAAGCACTGTGCTGGGTGACTCACTGTGCTATTTCCAATACTCTGTGTGTCACGTTTCAGTTTTCTCAATTTCTCTATCAGTAACTTTTACACTGTGAATTTACAACTAAATTATTTGGAATGCAGCTCATTTATTCTGTTCCAAAGACCTTTCCTCCTCTGAACGGGGTTGGGGGAGAGGAGGGAAAGGGAAAGCTAAATCCTACTGAAGACTTTCTGGGATTTGTGGTGTTACCTTTTGGTCTTTCAGAAATCCCCAAACTTGTACAAAGTCGGAGGCTTGAGCTAAATCAGCAACCTATCAGTTTCAAACACCGCATTTGTTAGCCGTTGTTTCTTTCGAGGTCCCGTTCAGCGGTAACTGCCCATTGAGGCGGTAAATCAAGGCCAGTTAGTACCTTAACTCTACGTCTTTGCGCCTCCCATCTCGTCCGCAGACTCTAAGAGGACAGCAGAGAGGAGGGCAGAGAGCTAGACGGCGGGGCGGGGGAGGCCGAGGTGACAGCAGGTGAGAGCCTGATGCGGATGAGGAAGTGAGACAGGGACCGTGTGGGTATTACTCATTCGGCTTCACCGCCGGTGTTGCCTGCAAACGGAACTTCTCGCCTCTTTCGGTCCAGCTGAAGTTCTTACTGAAATCACTTCCCATCCCGGTTCTCTCGGGGGGAAAACCGTGCGTCCGTGTAGGGGAAGGGAGTCAGAACGGAGGGTCAGGTAGCCTCTCTCGCGACGCCTCCTGTCCCCGCCGTCAGAGGCCGAGCTTCCCAAATCAGTCTCTACCGGTCCGGGAACCCCCCCCCCCCCCGCTACTCTCGGGAACTCCCCGGCTAGCCCAGGGCGCGCCGATCGGACAAACGCTGCGAGGGAGCGGAGCCCAACCTTGACGAAGAGGGAGGACAGGTTGCTCCGGTCACTGAGACGGGGCAGCTCTGAGGGTACAGGGTCCTGTGGCGACTCAGCTAGACTGGTCCTTGCCCCAGACAGCCGCGGCGGGTGTGGTCAGTTCAGAAGCAGAACGCCGCTGAGCCTCCTACTTTACCTTTCTCACTCCGACTGCCTGCCGCCCTTCTGACAACGTCCCCACAGTTTCCCAACGCCCCGCTCCCCCGTCCCACGACACCTGAGGGAAACTTTTCCCCCCTCCCCTCAATTCAAACTCAGCTGCTCCTACAGTTGCCGCAAACCGTCCTCTCCCTAGCAACAAGGTTCCGGCCGTAGAGCGAGCGGCTCTAGGTGTAAGGAAGGTGATGTCGTAAAGCCGCGAGTGTCGTAAACCAGGTGCGGTGGGGAGGGGGGAGGGGTGGAGGCGGAGGGGTGGGGGGGAAGGGGGAGGGAGGGGGAGGAGGTGACTCGAGCATTTAGACACAAGCGAGAGGATCATGGCGGATGGCCCCAGGTGTAAGCGCAGAAAGCAGGCGAACCCGCGGCGCAATAACGGTGAGTGGCGGAGGGGACCGGGGAGCGGCGGAGTCAGGGGGAGCCGGGCAGCCGGGGCGCCCCCGGGGGTGAGGGGGGCGAGCCGGGCTGGGGGCGGCCGGGGCAGGGACGGGCAAAGTGGAGTGGGAAAGTAGAAAGTAGTGCTCTCTGCCCCCCTCCGCTGCTGCCGCTGCCGGAGCCGCGCCGCGGCCGCTCGCTCTCCCTGAACCGTTATGTCTCTTACCTGGTCTCTCTCCGCCTAGCGGCTCCTGCCGCCCCTGCTGCCTCCTTGGACCGTTAGCCGCCGCATCCCCGGCGCAGGGCGGGCGGCCGGGACGCGGCTGGCCACTTTTCTGGTCCCGGGTGGAGCGGCTGTTGCTTCTTTTCGCACTTTTCCCCACTCTTTTGCCCCTCGGCGCCTCCCCTCTCCCCCTCCTCTCAGCCCCCTCCGCGTTATTCTCCCTCTGCGCGGAGGCCCCCGGGAGCCGAGGAACAAACTTGTGGCCGGCGCTGACCGTGCAAAGTGGCTTCCGCGCGCCGCGGCCCCGGCCGGCGCCGTCGCTCGGGCCCCGAGGCTCGGGCCGGGCCGGGCTGCGGGCGCTGGGCGGGCGGCGGCGGCGGCGGCGGGACGCGGCGGCCGCGGGCTGCGTGTCGTCCGTGCGCGCGTGTGCGCGGGCGCCGGTGGTGCGCGCCGCGGGCGGACCGGGCTCGGCCGGCGGCGGTAAAGTTGTGACCGGCCGGCGAGGCGCGCTCGCGGAATGGGGATTAGCGGAGCGGAGGCGCGGGTCCCTAAGCGCCCCTCCTCCCCCGAGCCTACGGCCACCGTGCCCTGGGCCCCCCGGCTGGGGGACGCCGAGGCAGCCCTGCGAGTGAGGTCCACGTTCAGGGGGGAGCTGGTGGGGCGGCAGGGGAGACGGGGCAGGAGCGGGCACCTACTTGCTGCTGTGGGAGCTCTGTGGATGGCGGCGAGCTGCGCAGCGGGTGTGTTTGTGGAGTTGTTACCTGGTCTTAGAGACAGGGAAGCACCACAGACAGATCCCCCTCCCCGGGGGAGACTCCTCCGCGCTGGGATGGGGTTCTGTGCGTACGCCTCTCTTTTTTCTCTTTCGGTTTTTGGGGAAGTTGTTACCTGGGCCGGACGCACGGAGCGCTGAAGCCGGATAATGGAGCTTGGATGGCGCTCTCGGTCTCGGGTGGAAGGAGGGTGGGGGAGGGGGCAGACGGACCGACGGACGCACGGGTCTGCTGCTCTCGCTGCAGCTGCAGTGTTTATTGATTTGTGCCGAAGTACCGGGGCCATACACACCCCTCTGCCTGGCAGGAGAGTTTAAAAAAAAAAAAAAAAAAAAAAGACAGCAAGAGAGAGCGAGACCCGAACATGTGGTTGTTGTTGCACAGTCGCCTTTTCCAGTTTGGAGAGACATTGTAAGTTGATTGTATTTCTGCTTATCTTGGGGGCGATTCTGTGCTTTCTCGCCCACTTGCTCAGCAGCGAAATGTCTGCTGATTGTTATTGTCTGGACAGTTCCTGTGGCGAGAGGGGCGAGACTTCTCCGCCCGGGGGCGGCAGGAGCGCGGGGCGAGGTCCCCGCCCGCGCCGGCCCGGTACCTGTTTGTATAATAATGGGCGGCAACGGCCCTGCCGCTGGCTGCAGCCGAGTCTATATAAGGAATTACACGTACATTTCGGACCGAGGGGCTAGCTTTGGTGCCTACGTTATTTTTAAAACGAGTTTTTAACTGTAGGGAAATAAATGCGCCTATAATGGGATCGCTGTATCTTCCAGAAAATGAGGAAATATGCGTTTAAGTAAAAACTCTCTCGCGCTCCCCCCGCCCCACCCCCCGCTCCTGGGCTCCCTTTCTCCCTCCCCTCTGGGATGCGAAACGCGAGGTTTTGTAACCTTTCCTGGCAATTTTAGATTTTGTGTGGGATTTCCTGTCTAGAAGCAGATACGAAGATTTTAAGCTGTTTCAAGATGTTTTCTTCCAATCGTAAAAATATTTTCAATATATCTGAGCCGACATTAAAATCACTGCTTTCATGAATGATTTTAGTTATTTAAATAAAAAATTGCGTTTTCAAGACGTCTGTTAGTGCTGATTGATAACTAATATTTGGTATCGTCATTGTGGAAAGATGACTTGTTACAGCAAGGAGTGGAGCATAGGCGATTGCAATTTTAATTTCCTGTTTTAGCGTCAAATAGTGTGCTATATTGAGCTGTTGCCACTGTTGCTGATGTGGCTTTATGAAAGGTAAGTTGGTTCGGAAAGGGCTGTTCGCTTTTTACCGTATTTAAAATGTTCATCACCAGAGAAAGGGGCTTTTCTTGTTGCTGACGACATGTGTGTGACATGTGAGTCTGAACCACCCAGCGTCTGTGCAGCTGCTGTAAACATGTTTACCTGAACAGGAAAGAATGGATTTTTCTCCTAAAGATCCTGTGATAGGAATATTACACTCTTAAGGCATATCAACAGATGACTTAAGGGGGAAAAAGCTGTCCTGAAAGGTACTTGAAATCAACGGGAAAAAGAGGTTCTCGATCGCTGCAGCAAATGGCAACTTGTGCAGGTAGAAAAAAGATGGTGTTTAGTTTTCTCCTGCATGTATGTCAGCCCCCTCCTGTCTGCTGCTTTCGTTCTCAAGGGAGGGATTTATTTACCACGCTTGCTGTCAGTGTTTTTCCTTTGTGTTTAATATTAGAAAAACAGATTTGGGCTGTTTAGTACAAAATGTCTTGTCTGCAGTATGCATTACTCTCAGAAAACAAAAGGTGTTTAAGATAGCACCGCACTACTACAGGTATCTTCCATTTTCATCACTTTTGGCTCTGTCCTTGTATTTCTTTTTGTTCTCAAATGCATTTCATCCTTTGCTAGTGATTGCAGCCATGCTATTTGATTAAGCCTTATAATTTGTAAATTAAAAATGAAGTTATATGCCATTGTGTTCTGAAGTCTCAGAATAGGTGCTGGTTGATCTTTCTTAGCAACGCAGTCATAATTAAGTTGCAGTTGTTTATTGGAGAGAATTGCATAGAAAAATGTTAACTCTTACATCTTTTTAATGAGGGAATAAATGATGTATACAGTGGGCGATAGTCATAGGCATACTTTATGTTGTTATTTATATGCAAATATTTTTTTTCATTTAAAAGGACATGCAGATTTTACTGCTAAGCCTCCAGTAAAACATTTTAATTTTCTTTCTGGAATATATCTGCAGAGTAGGTTATTAACGTGAGAATCAAGTAATGTAACTTGACAGGGGTAAACCAATTGAGCAAGGTTTGGCCAAAGCATCAATCCTTAGGTAGTAACTTTATGGTAATGATGTCAGTCATCTATAAAGGACTGGCCTTAGAATTGCGTAAATCGATTTTTACCATTTGTAATGTAATGCTTTGTTGTATTTTAAAAATATGTCTTCTAATTTTCCACTTCTACTCTTATGTGGTTTTCGTATGTATGTATGCATTGGGGCGGGGGGGGGGGGTTGAAGAGAGAAATGTGCTCTAGCTACTAATGACCACATGCTGATTAATTCACTTTAGGTGGAATAGCAGGTACATATTTTTCTGTCATTTGCACCATTTCCACTTGCTGTCTTTGGAAACCGCCAGTAGAGGATGCTAACAAAAATGATTATTGGTGTAGTAGCACCATCAGTCTATCTCCTGTTGATTGGGACCTCTGTATTAATAGGGACCTTTGGTGCAATTCTGAGTCTTAGTGTTATTTAAAACTAGCCCTGGGTAAATTAGGTATAAGCATTTTCTAGTCGCTAAAATGGAAAGCAGTAGGAATGTTTTAACATGAGTAATTTTGTAAATTTGAGCTTTTTAAATACTGAGATTGATAATGCTATCAACTTAGTCTTGCTTTAAACCAATTGTATTACAGCTTTCTATTTTTTAGGTTTTGTTGTACGATGTTAGGTTTGGAAAATTATGTAATGATTGGCCCATATTTATTTTTGCATATTTACTATACTTTTTAGCTTCCTTTTTTATTCATTGTAAGATCCCTGAATAACTACATTTTAGATGTTAAAAGATATAAACCATTAAATATGGTAAAAATTGCAATTGATTGATAATACTGTCTAATTATTTTCCCATAACTGATACAGACTTAAAGTGTACATGGGTTGGCAGACAACTACTAAGGAAGATGTTAACCAGCAGTCACTCAGATGTTAGTTTTTTTAGATTTTTAGATTTTATCTTTTTCTTTCCCTTCTAGTTAGAATCACAAGTAGAGCATAGATTTTACATTTACCAATTGTAAATTAAGAAACGTAAGTTTGTTTCGATGGTTTAAATGCAGCAAAAAAGTATAATGCGATAATTATCGTATACCTGTATTCAGGGATTCTTTTCAAATAACTGTGTAAGTTGCTATTACACTTTCAAATATAAATAATTATACAAGACTTAATGTATTTAGTCATTTTTTTGGTGTGTGTCCATATAATTATGTTAAAATAACTATAAACTTTGGAAGCCTTTTGTTAGGTCAGATGTTAGAAGTATTTTATTTCCCTAATTATTTTTAATGGCGTTTCTATAAATGCACAACAGCAGTATTATAATGCAATAATAATACTGTTTATCTTGAATTAAGTTGGAATTACCTGACTTAATAGGTAAGCCTATGTGCAGTCCTCATTTTAGGGTGTCATGATTTTTTAGGAGAGAGAGAGATTGAAAATGTATATAAATATAGTTTTACATTTCCTGAAAGATGTTTCTTGAATTTGGTGTTTTCCTTATTCCTAGAGCTCAGTAGTAAATAGGTGTGATTCACTCACTTCTTTTATAAACTGAGGAAGTTTATCACAAAGCCATGACATACAATTGTGGCACAGAGCAAAAGTTAAAGTATCTTGTAAATTGAAAGCAACAATCGGTTGTTAAGATGAGCCTTATGTAAAAGCATATGAAATATTTGGTTATTTTTTTACTTTCTCCAGTTGATAGTATTTTTGAAAGTCTCTACCATCTGTTTGCAGTTTTAGTAGCTCTGAAGCACGTGGTGAGAAATGAGAAAGTTCTATCAAACTGGGAATAATTTTTTTTTAAATTTAATTTGTTTGTTCTTGAGAGAGAGACAGAGCACAAGCAGGGGAGGGGCAGAGAGAGAAGGAGACACAGAATCCAAAGCAGGCTCCAGGCTCTGAGCTGCCAGCACAAAGCCCTACGCAGGGCTCTAACCCAAGAACCATGAGATCATGACCTGAGCCCAAGTGGGACGCTCAACCGACTGAGCCACCCAGGCACCCCCAAACTGGGAATATTTTTAAAATAACAACGTAATTATTTCTTATAATTGTGTTTTTATTGGTTTTTCCTCTTTTTTTGCTTTCCCCTTCATAAATTACTTCTAAGCATGTGAT